TTGCAGTTATTTGAAAACCGCAAATAAGCAGATTTTGAGGGTTCTACAGGCAGCTTTACTATGCTAATGTGTTGTAAGCCATAAATGGACCTGTAGTGCACATTATCTCCAGCAAAGGATCACCGCCTTGTTGTGGCGCTGGAGCTTGAGCACCTCAATGATGTCATGAGCGAAACCGTGAAGGGCCACCCAAGACGGGACGGTCGTGGCAGAGGTCAGACCAAGCGTGATCCCTGGGGAAGGCAATGGCAAACCACTCCAGAACTGACCAGGAACAACAGACTGGTTCAAGATTGGGAAAGGCGTACGGCAAGGCTGCATACTCTCACCCAACCTTTTTAACTTGTATGCAGAACACATCATGCGATGTGCGGGGCTTGATGAATGCAAGGCTGGGGTTAAGATTGCTGGAAGAAACATTAACAACCTCAGATATGCAGATGACACCACTCTGATGGCCGAAAGCGAGGAGGAGCTGAGGAGCCTTCTAATCAAGGTGAAAGAAGAAAGCGCAAAAGCTGGATTGCAGCTAAACATCAAAAAAACCAAGATTATGGCAACAAGAATGATTGACAACTGGAAAATAGAGGGAGAAAATGGAGGCCGTGACAGACTTTGTATTTCTAGGTGCAAAGATGAGTGCAGATGCAGACTGTGGCCAGGAAATCAGAAGACGCTTACTTCTTGGGAGGAGAGCAATGTCCAATCTCGATAAAATAGTAAAGAGTAGAGACATCAGAACTGGCAACAAAGATCCGCCTAGTCAAAGCCATGGTATTCCCTGTAGTAACCTACGGATGTGAGAGCTGGACCTTAGGGAAGGCTGAGCGAAGGAAGATCGATGCTTTTGAGCTGTGGTGTTGGAGGAAAGTGCTGAGAGTGCCTTGGACTGCGAGAAGATCCAACCAGTCCATCCTCCAGGAAATAAAGCCCAACTGCTCATTGGAGGGAAGGATACTAGAGACAAAGTTGAAGTACTTTGGCCACATCATGAGGAGACAGGAAAGCCTAGAGAAGACAATTATGCTGGGGAAAGTGGAAGGCAAAAGGAAGAGGGGCCGACCAAGGGCAAGATGGATGGATGGTTCCTTGAAGTGACTGGACTGACCTTGAAGGAGCTGGGGGTGGTGACGGCCGACAGGGAGCTCTGGCGTGGGCTGGTCCATGAGGTCACGAAGATCGGAGGCGACTGAATGAATGAACAACAACAACAGTGCACATTATACTGAGCCAATATAATTAATAAGTAGTGGTGTGTTGAAAAAATGCCTTCACATACTGTACCATGAAAATAATGAGGAAAATAGATGGTGGTTCATTACAATGCTTTGCATATATGTCCCCCTGCTTAATTTTTCAATGTTTTGCTATGCAAATTCAAGTGGATTTGATTGGCATTGTTGCTACTTGAGGTACATAAATTTCTCAACACTGTAAAGGGGCAAAATAATTTCAAAGTTACCTAAAATGTGCCAAATTGTGAACATCCTCTGAAGCACCATTAAACTCGGGCAAGGAGGGCTTTATTGTGGCACAAAAGTTAAGTAAAAATTCCAACAACTGACACTTATTGGTTGCATACATAGTCAACTCCTTTCTTGTGACAACCCTGAATAAAGTCTGTTTCCAGAAGTCATAAGTAGTTGAATGGAGTACACCTGTATGCAACTTCAGTGCCACAGGGTCTCAGACTAAAAGATACATGCTTCTGGAAGGCCTCTGGGTTTATTGAGGAACATATATAAACAAACAACATCATTAAGACCAAGGAGTCATTAAAACAAACCCAGGATAAACTTGGGCGGAAACTCTAGTCCGGTCTGAGTTATTTAAAAAGATATCCCAAATGGTGAACATCCTCTGGAACACCATTAAACCTAGACAAGGAGGGCTTTAATCAGAGGCCAATGGTATGTTGGAAGTTGCTAAAGAGATCAACAGCTGCCATTCATGGCATAGCTATCACATGCATCCTCTATAAATCTGGGCTTTGTAGAAGCATGACAAATAAGGAAGAAATTGTTGAAACAAACTGATATTCAAGCCCATTGGGAATTTGCTTAACGGCAAACATGTTGGAACAGTTTGACTGGTCTGACCCAAACTGAACACTATGACATTGCTTTAAAATGTTATGTGGGATTTAAGGCCCTTCTACACATGCCCAATAACCCGTGATAGGCAACCTGGTTTATCTGAGGCATCCAAATGATGCCTCAGATAAACCCAGATTAATGTGGGGTGAACTGGGATTTTCCAGTTTACTCCACATTAATTTGACACCTGGAAAGTCTGAACCTTAAGCTAAGGTCCGGATCTTTGCAGGTTCCAGGCATGTGGGGATTGACTCCTGGGATTGCTTCCTCTCTCCCGGGGATCAATCCCCACAGCCATCCTGGTTCTTCGAGGTGCTGGAGCCTCCAGCCCCCCAATTTACCCAATCCCTCCCAGTCCCCCCCAGACCCCCATCTCCCCCAACTTACCTGAGGGGCCTCCACTTGCATTGCTGGCAGGCTGCTCTGGTAAGTTTTTAAAGGGGGAAATGAGGGGATGGGGAAATGGCATCTAGCCACTCCTCAAGGGAAAACCTGAGGTTTGGGGTGGGGTCAGAAACCTGGGAGGAAGTGGGTTAAAATAACCCGCTTTCTCCCAGGTTTCTGCCCTGTCTGAAAGTACCCTCAGTTCCCATAATGAAGGATGGTAGTGGCAGTATTATATTATGGGGATTTTTTTAAATCAGGGATTGGTTATATAATCAGGATTGAGAGAAAAGATGGATGAAGCTACACAAGGAAGGAAATGCCCAAAAGCTAAGCAACACAGAAGTGGTTTCAAAACAAGAACTTGGATATCTTAGAATGGCCCAGTCATTTAGTTTACACCTGAACCCAATGGTGTCAAATCCTCAAAGCTGTTGATCAGTAATGGTCCCCCTTCAACCTGACAGAGCAATTTTTCCAAGAAGAAGGAGCAAACATAGCAACATCTGGATGTGCAATGTTGATAGATACTTACTCTACAAGAGATTCACAGTTCTAATTGTTGCCATGGGTGCTTCTGCCAAATATTGACTCATTGGAGTTGGTGGATGCATGAATGATTTATGCCACTTACAAGTGTCCGTTTGTTTTTGTCTGCTTAACATATGTATAACAACCAAACTATTTTACCTTTGCAGCTTTAGGTGTCTTGTTTAACAATGGCAGTTCCATCCAAGCTGCAACATAATAACATGTGGAAAATCAAATATGAGTGGCTACTTCTTCAAGGCGCTGCATGCCATTTCACCAAGTGGTGGGATGGTACTATTGCTTATTTGAATCAGCGTGGGAACAGATCTGATACTTAATTGCAATAAATTTCTTTCAAAATTCTTTAATACTTAGATTGTGAGCAGTGCCACACACTTTTTAGGCACATTTTTGTTCCCAAATAATTAAGAAGAGTAATCCTTGCTCTTTTGTTTTCCCCATGAACATCAAATAAAAAGATGGAGACCTTGTCTGCCCTAGATACTTGCTTCAGGTCAGTGCAAACTGAATGCACGTGCATTTGACCTGCATAACATGCTCTGTTAGCATATGGGAATCTGTGTGGGCATGACATTCCTTTGGTGGAAAAGGCACTGATGTGAAGACAGGCACATTTTCCCCACTTCTGTTTATTGCACTGATGCAGTTTGTGTGGATGGAAGAAGATGCCTATTGAAATATTGTGACGCACCTGTGCATGGAACATTTTGTGTCCTTTTTACTCTCTTGCCAATCCCCTTTTCCACTTCCTCCTCAGTTCTTCTTTGTTTAAAGGGTAAGGTCTGCAGAGTCTTGCCTCCAGCATATCTTCCCTTACAGTCTGCACTATTGGCAACCCTGTCAATCTGTTCTAGGTGCATTAATCATAAAAACAGATGGGTTCACTGTGTATTGAATGTTCAGTTCTCATTGGTTAAAATGGAGAGTAACATAGTACAGTGACTGAAAATCAAGCATACCTAAAGTCACCTCAAATACCTCTAATTAATACTCTAAATGTAGCATGAGGGAGAAGCAAATAACAAAGGGTGCATCTACATTGTTGAATTAATGTAGTTTGAATTCACTTTAACTGCTATAATTCAATGCTGTGGAGTTCTGGGATTTGTAGTTTGGTGAGATACCAGCACTTTGGCAGAGAAGGCTAAATACCTTGTTTTTGTTTATTCGTTCAGTCGCTTCCGACTCTTTGTGACCTCATGCACCTGCTCACACCAGAGCTCCCTGTTGGCCATGGCCACCCCCAGCTCCTTTAAAGTCAAGTCAGTTACTTCAAGGATACCATCCATCCATCTTGCCCTTGGTCTGCCCCTCTTCCTTTTTCCCCTAGTAAAACTATAAATCCCATGATTCCATAACATTGAACCATGGCAGTTAAATTGGAGTCAAACTACATTAATTCTACAGTTTAGATGAACCCAAAGACCTTTGAATACATTTGATCTTACATCACTTTAGCAGGAAGCAGTAAAGGTGTATCCTTAATGCTTGTCCAGGAAATAGCTTCTTGGGGTCCTGGCTTGGCTTTTTAGTGTAAAGTTGAGAGTTAGGGCAATGCATTGCGTTTGTTTATTTGTTTACTGAAATATTTCTGTCGCAGCTTATATCAGCAGTTTTCTGAGCAGTAAACATTTTCTTCCATTTTACCCATTCAGTCCATACATGCCCTGTGCCTGCCAATGCTGGCCATGTGAACCTAGCATAGAATAAGGCACCCAACAGTTTTGGATTGTATCTGGATGACCCCTCTTTGTCCTAGAGTGGAAATACTTTTTCTTCTGCCTGTGCTCTGTAATGAATCTGGGATAGTCTAGCTAAAGAGTTAAACCATTCACGAGCATGTGTGTCTTCCAAAAGCAGCATGATTAACAGTTTTTTTTGTCAGTTGCACTAATGTGATATTATATGGAAACAGTAAAGTATAAAAACTAAATTACCTCTTGCTTCTGTACTTTGATTTTTTCCTAGATCTTGAACACATCAAATGTTTCTCAAGCTGTCACTCTCTTTTATGTAGTGAAAAATGAAAGCACAGTCTTAAATGGCACTGAATCAAGCAACCTTCTTAATCATCTTTCTGCAGAACTGGTGGGTTTTTATCTCACTTACCCACCTCTGACTATTGCGGAAGGTAAGCCTTCAGGACTTTCTTTTCTCTCAGTATTTGGTTATTGTTAGAAGCTAGATCTTCCAACAGCCCTACCACTTCGGTATCACCGTTTTCTCTCTGATTAAAATATGTTTTACACCTAACATACAGTTCCTTCAGCCATCTACCTAACTGTGACCATCAATGATTTGCTCCTGAAAACAGGCCCATCCTAGATAATAAATTCTGTTTTAAGTGTGCACACAAAAGGCAAATGATTCATGCAGTTACATAGGAACAGCAATATAGAAAATGGAATTCAAAAACATTTTACAAATATAGGCATTTAAGAAATGATTGACCAAGGGACAAATAATAGTTTGAAGTTTTTGCAGTGATGCGCAGGACACACAATATAATATAAATATTTGTGTATAAGTTGAGGATAGGTTTGGGGACCAAAATTATGAATTTGGCTTTTATCCATTGAAGTCAAAAGTAAAAGTTTGGGGCATGTAACAAACAAATCTGTTCCTTTTTTTTTTTTGAAAAATGCGAAGAGGGAACATTTAGGAAGAGCTAAAGAGGAGAGGATCTGTTTAGTGAGTTAAATTAATACATATATATAAATGTGGATATGGAAAGAAATACAAATGAGGTAAAAGAATGAGGATGCAGCCTTTTAAAAATAGGGTGGGGGAGAAGACCAAGAAAAGCGACCTGCCTCCATAAAGGACTCAATGCAAACACAGTGATAAGAGGCAGAGGCGAGAAGCTCCCCTCCCCCTTTCCCAAACTAAAGCCATGATGGCGCATGTGTGTTCTACACTGAATTGGGGTTTTCCACCTCAATCCAAGGAAATTCCCCAGATCTTGGATCATTGTCTGGCAGCTGTGATGGACTGGACGAGGGCCAACAAACTGAGACTTAATCCAGACAAGACAGAAGTTCTCCTGGGCAGTCGTGAGGCCGATTGGGACATAGGGTGGCAACCTGTGCTTGACAGGATTACACTCACCCTAAGGACACAGATTCGCAGTCTGGGTGTCCTTCGAAATTCATTGTTGATGCTTGAAGCTCAGATGTTGGCGGTGGCCGGCAGGGCCTTTGCACAGTTAAAACTTGAGCACCAGCCGTGACCATACCTCGAAAAACCTGACGTGGCCACAGAGGTCCATGCCTTAATTACATCTGGAATGGGCTACCATAGTGCACTCTATGTGAGGCTGCCTTTGAAGACGGTGCAGAAATTGCAGTTAGTACAAAGGTCGGCTGCCAGATTATTAACTAGAGCCATGATGGTGAACCTATGACACGCATGTCAGCACTGACACACGTAGCCATTTTCTATGACACACGGCCACATGCGGCTGCATACAGAGAAGTTGCTTGCTTGCTCGCTACTCCAAACGAGTGAAAGAGAGGGAAAGGAGAGAGAAAAACAGTGTGCTGTCTCTTTAAGGCAGGGGCATGTCTCGGGAGAAGGAATCCTCCAGCCCCGCCCCTTGGATGCCAATCACCCAGCGGCGCCTTTGATCTGGCCCCCTTTGGCGGAGGGAGGCAGGCACGCGCTGGGGTCTTTTTTTCTCCTCAGCTAAACCCCTCTGTTCCAGGAGCATTCTCTCCTGACGTTTTTCTCACATCTTATGGCAGGCATCCTCAGAGGTTTGTTGGAAACTAGGCAAGTGGGGTTTATATCCCTGTGAAATAACGTCCAGGGTGGGAGAAAGAACTCTTGTCTGTTGGAGGCAAGTGTGAATGTTGCAGTTGGCCATTTTGATTAGCCTTGAATGGCCTCGCAGCTTCAAAATCTGGCTCCTTCCTGCTCAGGGGAATCCTTTGTTAGGAGGTGTTAGTTGGGCTTGACTGATTCTTGTCTGGAATTTCCCTGTTTTTTAGAGTTTATATATCTGTGGAATAACATCCAGGGTGGGAGAAAGGAACTCTTGTCTGTTGGAGGCAAGTGTGAATGTTGCAATTGGCCATTTTGATTAGCCTTGAATGGCCTGGCAGCTTCAAAGTCTAGCTCCTTCCTGCTCAGGGGAATCCTTTGTTGGGAGGTGTTAGCTGGGTCTGACTGATTCTTGTCTGGAATTCCTCTGTTTCCTGAGTGTTGCTCTTTCTTTACTGTCCTGATTTTAAGAGTTTTTTAAATACTGGTAGCCAGATTTTGTTCATTTTCATGGTTTCCTCCTTTCTGTTGAAATTGTCCACATGCTGCTTTTGGATTTCAGTGGCTTCTCTGTGTAGTCTGACATGGCTTTACTCACAATTTTTCCCTCTACGTACTTTTGTGAGACCTTATTCTCAATGTTAAATAATATCAAAACCATCAAAAGAAACAGATTGACAGATGATGTTAGTAGCACTTGCTTGGGCTTGAAGTGTACAAAATACCAACCTTCAATTGCACATTTAGTCAATGAAATTCAGCAACAAAAAAGTCACTAATAGGCAGCTTAGTTAAAGAATTTCTCCTCCCATTATGCATTTTTGTTATTTAAACTATAAATATCACAAAATTATGGGGTTTTTTTTTCTCAAAGTGGCACCCCACCTGAATTATGCTTGGTTTTTTTTGGCGAATTTTGACACACCAAGCTGAAAAGGTTGCCCATCACTGAACTAGAGCTAGCTATAGGGAACATACTATTCCCCTTCTCGAGCAGCTCCACTGGATTCAGACAATTTTCCGGGCTCAATTCAAGGTGCAGGTTATTACCTAAAAAGCCCTATATGCTTCGGGTCCAACCTATCTTCGAGACCGCATCTCTTTCTATGAACTGCGGCAGACTTTGAGATCAGCAGGTGAGGCCCTTCTCTCGATTCCACCACCATCTCAAGCAAGATTGGTTGGAATGAGAGAAAGGGCCTTCTCTGTAATGGCTCCCCAGATCTGGAATACCCTCTCAAAAGAGATTGGGTTACCCCCACCCCTGACTCCTTCCGATCCAGTCTAAAAAACATGGATTTTTAAGCAGGTTTTTTGGCTTTGAGTAGGCTGAAATGGGCCCATATGAGGTTGCTTTTTTGGCACTTTAGTTGTGAATTGAAGGCAGCTAGTTTTAACTACAGATGATCTGTGTTTGAAACTGTGTTTTTATTTTATTTTATGTGTTGATAGTGATTGTTTTTATAACTTTTATGTGATATTGTTTTTATACCATGTATTATATACTACACTTGTAGTGCCTTGTAAGCCATCCCGAGTCCCTTTTGGGAGATGGTGGTGAGATAAAAATAAAGATGATGATGATGATGATGATTAAAAGGGCCAGTGCAGTCTTAGCAAGGAAAGCTTATACAGAAAGCCCTTAAAATGTCTGGCATTACTCCACTCCATCTCCCCCAAGTTGCTGATGAACTCTATTTAGGCCAAAAAGAAGGTGAGAAAGGAATAAAGGTTTCCTTTCTTTCTCTGGGTTGGAGAAGGTGGGTGCTAATGGGCTGGGAACACGTCAGAGTTCTGCCTCTTGTCACTGCCTGTGCACTGGGCCCCTATTCCAGCATTGACTTAGGGCACTTCCAGACAGCACCAAAATGTGGGTTTTAAAACTGGGGCATAACATTCCAAGAAACACAGACCTGTCAATCCTGGGACACACAGATTTGTCAATCCTGAAAAATGCTCTCCTGCCATCCTCACATCTTCCTTTGAAGGGGATCAAGACAGAGGGTGGATGAGAGTCATCCGGTGGAAATTCTTTTTAAAAAAATTAGCTCTGAGATGTGCTTGGACTTCATATGTGCACATGTGGAGATCCCAATGTATCACAAACAGATTTTTTACTATCTCTTCACCCAACTGTCAATTCAAGCTCTTTTTAATATTGTAAAGATCTAAATAAAGGAGTGGTTGCAGAGTTCTAAATTCTTTCCACTCGTGCTTCCATTTAGCCACCTGTGTGTCCATGGCTCCATTTTTTGACAGTCCGATCAGCTGTTTCGGGCTTTAAAAACATGTACATGTGCTGGAGCAGTCAACACAGAAGGGAAGGAAATTGCGTGTTTTGCATGACTGCAGGGATATACAGTCATACGAAGGTGTCCATTTTTGGGGCGGAATCGGGTTTTAAGCGTACCTTTTTAACATGAGCTTTTTAGCTGTTAACCCAATTCTGCCCGTACTTTTGCTAAACATCATTTAGCACTCTCCTTTTATCCCGATCACTTCTGGATTTTAAGGCCTGTATAGAAGGGCCTTTATTACAAAAGTATGCTTTTTTCAAAAAGTTTACAGCAGAGGTAGGGTAATTTGTTGTCCTACAGAAATTTTGGAGTAAAAATCCAACAGTCCACAGTCAATATAAGTAGTCAGGGATAACACTAGCATTACCTTTTTGCTGTTGCGTTTATCATTTAAAAATTGTGCTTGATCTGTGTGATGCTCTTTTAAAATTGTGTTAGATATACATTTTAATATAAACTGCTGAGGGGGTATTTTACAGAAATTTTAATGGAAATAATACATAAATTATAGGAGTTGTTGTCCAAAACACCTTCAAGGCACCAAGTTGCCTATCCTGATTTAGAGGAATGACTCATTGATTAGCCAAAGGGAGTCTGAGCTGAGTACTTTCCTGCATTTTGTTGAACAGTAGAAGTCATTTATTTTTATTGAGTAGTAATGTTTTGACTTTGGGAGCAAAATGTGTCTTTTTGAAGGTAGGCTTTTGGTTTTAACTGTTAACAGCAATGGAAAGAAAACATATTTTTGTTTCAAAAACATTATATATATATTGTATAAAATTGTTGGTTGCATGGTGCAGTGAAAATTCCAGTCTGGGGATGTGGAGGGAGATTAGTGCTTGATGAAGCCAGGCAACAGCTCCAATTCTGTCTTAGTCCTCAGAAATGGATTTTAAGACGATTAGGACTTGTAGTCCTGCGGGTTTGTCCAGAAAATCCGATGCCACATTGTGAACGAAGATGATTACTTACGATACTTGGTGTCTCTTCATTTCAAACCTCAAGTCGATGTAGCTAATAAGATCTCGTGCAAACTGATGTTGTATCATGAGGCATTGCCCTCACGATGATCCTAAAAGAGAGTGCTAATAAGGATAAAAAATACTTAAAACCACTAAAGATAAAATGAAAATAAAGTATCTTTGGTGAAGAGTGAACAAACTTTATAACAAATACAAGAGCCATTCTTTAGTTGTGTTGTTTTGTGCCTTCGAGTTGTATTTAACTTATGATGCCCAAATTCTTCTATCAGAGAAACTTTGCATCTGATACTGAGAGAGTGTGATTTCTCTAAATTCACCCATTGGTCTGCAGAGTTGTAGTCCATTGCTCAAACCAATGCATCGTGCTATAATGCTGTAGAAAGCCCCCCCCCCCCCCCCCAAAGTTACTTGTTTTCCCTGACTCTCAGTCTCCTAATTTGCCATATTTGCCATATTGTCCTTGTTATTGTTATACTTTCAAACAAATCAGCAGAGTAATTTCTTTTACAGAAATGGTAACTCACAAAAATGGTTTGGGACCTTATTAATGTGCAACTGTATTGTTTTAATTTAAAGCAGGCCATTTTCCTTTTAGATCAATTTCCGATCAGTGGAAATACATCTAAGTTCTATGCCACAAAATTTAATATGGAAAAAACATCCAGTTCAAAATATAAGGTCATTTGCCAGGTTTCATATATGAGTGGTCGTCCCACTAAATCATTGATGCATGCATTAGTGTCTGTTTGAGATTAAAGTACTTCATACATTTCAGTTTAAATATTTATACCTGTATACAAAATACTTATGTATATACAGACCAAGATCCTCTTAACTAACTATGACAGTGTAAGTATGTCAGCATAGGTAATGGCATGAGAGTGACAGGAAGAAAATAACTGTGTGTATAGCAGAAGCAGCAAAAGACAAGAGTCATTATTCTTGGGAGAAGTGGACTGCAGCTTATTTCCCTAGAGCACTTCTGAGAAGTGTGGGTGTCTTTGGAGCCTAGATTCTTTGGGAAACCTGGCTTAGGAAATCATGGTGCATCTGGAAAGCAAGCATTGAAGTCAGAAACTGGTTGGAATTTCTGTGTCCTTTTCCAGAGAATACCAATGAGAAATTCAAGGACCTAGAGATTTTTCACAGTTCACTTTATGAGACTGATATTGATTGCAGTTTGTTTTATATTCTGCAGCTATTGTTGCATTTTATTGATCTTAATCGGGGTGTGTGTGTGTGTGTGTGTGTGTGTGTGTGTGTGTGTGTGTGTGTGATGTTTTTGTGTACATTTCCGGCCATGGGGGCAGAGTGCTGTCACTCCATCTCCCTGCAGAAGACCTTTTGTTCGTAACTTCCTCCTTTTGATTGAATCACCAACATTCTTTATGGGTGCCTCAGAATACCTCCCTGCTTTTAAGAGGTACCTATCTATCTACTCACATTTGCTTTCCAACCACTAGATAGGCAGAAGCTGGGCTAAAGGCCAGGAGCTCACCCTGACTCAGGCTTCGAAGTGACAGTGTTTTGACCGACAAGATTTACTACAGCTTGTGGTTTAACCAGCTGTGCTAAAGCCCGGCCCTTTGAGTGCTTTGTGAGTTGCTCCGATTCCCTCCGGGAGATGGTGACAGGGTAGAAATAAAGTTTTTATTATATTGTATGCCTCTGTTGTTGCCACAGCACAACTTTGAAAAATGCATGTGCTAGATTAGTATTTCCCAAACTTGGTCCTTTAGGTGCTTTGGACTTCAGGTCCCAAAAGGTCCATTGAACTTGGTCAACATTTCGGAATCCTGGAAGCTGAAGTCCAAAAACTGCTGAAAGACCAGTGTTAAGGAACCACTATTGTAGACCATCATGCAGACAGAGTGCACCATCTCGATTTCAGCCATTCAAAAATGCACACACATATTGTATGTATACCTACTTGTTTTGGCAATATTTTGATATTTGGAAACACAAACCACTCATACTTCTGAAATCTGCCACTCAAATTAACTACCAAGTGAAGGGAGAAGTCAATGTCTCTTTATACTCTGGAATACTTGGTGTATTTCAGAGTTAAAACAAATGAATCTTTTCATGGATGCAAAAGAAATGTACTTCTCATTCCAATAATGTAAAATTACATCTGCAATGTACACTGCCTTGCAGAAGCATTCACACACGCCCCGTGACCTTTCCACATTATACCATATTAAAACCTGAAATACTACTACTACTACTACTACTACTACTACTACTACTAACTTTCTTCTTATACCCCACCACCATCTCCCCGAAGGGACTCGGAGTGGCTTACATATGGGACAAAATGCCCACAGACACAATACAAAACAATCCATCATAGCAAAAACATAATTGAAATAAAAAACATAGTTAAATATAACATATAATGGATTTAATTAGAATGGTTACAGCTTGTTGCTTATACTGAAAATGCAAAAATATTTTTATTGTGATATAAACGTTAAATAAACACAGACATAAAAGGAGCTTTTTTTCAAGACTCTTTATCTTTCCACTTACCGTTTTGGTCAGAAGTCCATTACATTCTCAAGGAAGTTATTATTTTACATAATATACCTCATTTTTGAGTCGACAGGATGCACTTGGGGTTTGATTTAGGTGACTGCGGGCTCAAGTCTCCTTACAGACACATACTTAATATCTGATCTTAGAAAAATAGCTGTGCCTGTATGGATGATTTCCTGTCAAGTTTCTCTTCTATCAGAGCACAATTATTGGATTCTGGCTATATTAGACATCCATATGTGGATGCAAAATGTATCCAAGCCTTGGGTACAAAAATGCTATAGGGTTTAGTTGTGAACTGGATTGTGTGTGGCACATCAATACTGTGGTTTGAATATATACTATACACATACTACACTATCCTCTGAGTACACAGGGAGATGTGATTTTGCTTACCAACCACATATAGTTACTTTTCATGCTGGAAAACACATTTAAAGTGCCTTAAAGTGAACAAAATAAGTCAGTAAGCTTTAAATAGCCAACACATGCAAACAAAAGGAAGCAGTTTGAGTTCCAGTGAGAATCTCCTGTATTTGTGTGTAATGAATGAATGTTCCTCTCTATTCAGAATTATGATTACTTGGAGTAAATTCTTTCCTTTTTTCTTTTTCTTCAATAGCTTTGGAATATCCAAATCTGGATACTTCAGATGCAACTAAGGACTACTGGGTAACTACAGGTAAAACTGCTTTTTTTAAAGAAATACTTTCCCCATGGTCTTGAGAATACCATCTCCTGCTGTCAATACAGCTAGCCTGTGTGACATTTATATTTTATGTGAAGCTGGATAGTGGAATGTTCAGTGATTTTTGATTTTTGCAGTTGGTGGCTAGCCTGTTGTTCGAACCGTTATTTCCTTCTGATCTCTTAAAACTATGAGTCACAATTCCAAGAATAGAATTACTGGGATCTATATGTCAGGGCTTAAAGATACATAAGTAGGAAGATGCTGAAGCACAACAGGTATTGCATTGGTATTAAAAATGCATGTCTATATACTTCTTGCTGTCTTACAGCAAGTTGTGTCTACTCCATTTCTCTAAGTATTAATATTCTTTGTTTCTTCAGGTTGCCTATTTCTAATCCATATATCTGTGCTTTTTTGTGACTCGCTTAAGAAAAAATGGGAGAACATTTTGTAACATGTGATAAAATGTCTTTATGTCCTTTAGTTCTGTGGCTCACTTAATTACAATTATTGTTATAAGATGGAGTGGAAAACTGGTTTGTCCAAAGCCCAATTTTCAGATTTCAGGTTGCCAAAAATCAACTGAACCACTTCCCCAAATTGGAAGCAGCCTAAAATTTACTTCTCGTTTTTGAAAGCCAGCTATTTTGTTGTTAAACAAGGCAAGGTGGTCCTATGGCCTGTAAGGTACTGTTTCTGGCAACTTCCAGGAAAAGCAGTCACCTTTTACGTAAAAAGAAGAATGGTCTGGGACAGAGCTTTCCAAACTGAGTGTCAGGACACACTAGTATGTCCCTGTAGTCTCTGGGTGTGTCACGTGACAAATGCTCCCCCCTCCCCACAAAAAAGTGGTCTAGGAAATGCGAGTGCTTGGTCTTGGGGGCTGCATGCACTTTTGTCCACCTTTCTTATAAGGCTTAAATGTATCAGAAGTGATGTGACTTCATAAATTTATAAGATTTCCTTAACTTGTTGCATTTGTTAATGTTGTTAGGTTGCAGACGGGATATTCCTTTGTCAAGAAGGTCACTTATTAACACCTGGGAATTGTTAGTGGCTTATTTTTCAATGGAGATGATGTTTGGGAAGTTTGTAGGCACTATTGTTGTGTGTCTGAATATGAATACTGTCAGAGCTTTTAGAAAGGTAACATATTCTGTCTGGACTCCTTCAGCTAAGGCCTTTGGGCAGGGCTGTGCCTGAATTAAAACAAATTTGTGGTTTGAAAGAAACATGAGAGCAGAAGCAGAGAGTAAGCTTGTCGCTAAAAACGCTGTATGGAGCTGATTCAACCATAAGTCTGTATCTTTATATTTCCATATTTGTAAATGAAGGAGATCTTAGCAAACCGTTCCTTTACTTTCTTTTCCAAAACAAACAAAATCCAGAGTTTAGCCTGGAACATCTCGCTTCTTGGGAAACTGGAATTTTTTTAATAATATGGTTTTAATTTTCTTTTGTACACAACTGGATTGGGTATAATTTATGCATTAATATGTTGGAAGAATAAATGCTTTTGGGATCTGCAGCATTTTGTCCGCTTGCTTTATTTCAGCTGAAACTGTCTCCACAGAGACCATTATCCAAGTTAAACAGGTACTTCGTTATGCAGTTGATTAATTTCATCTTTTCTACGCACCTGCACAAATACATTTCCAGCCAGTTCTTTGACAGGGCCAGATTTTTCCATGGTGCTATGACTTCCTCTCCAATTCCATTTAAATCCTCACTACCCATTGGCTTTTCTGCAGGTGTACGCTTCCATTATGCTGGTCTTAATTCTTACTGCCCTAGAGATAATCTCCTGTTTTTATACTGCTTTCCTCTCAGAGGCCATTCCAGAAAGGGTCCATATTCTGGACCCTGTTGGATTTTTATCTGAGGCATCCAAATGATGCCTCGGGTAAAAGTGAAGTAATTCAAGACAAAGCAGGTAAACCCTGCTTTGTACTGAATTACCTTGATTCTCCATAAGACCCAGGTCTAATGGAGTATAGGGCTCTGTGGGGACTGACCCCAGGTAATCCTGAGATTACCAAGGGGTCAGTCCCCACATCCATCTTGCTCCTTTGGGTGCCCCCTCCCCCAAAGCCTTAAAAACAAAGTAAGGCCTCTCTGCAAGCCTCATGGAATGTACCAATTGTGAGGGTTGGTAAATGTAAATAAGCAGAATAAGTAGAAGCTTTACCACAGTACTTAAACCAAGGTATATCCTGCTGTATAATAAAATGTCACTCAGGCTTGTAAAACAAGTAACAGTATCTTTACTTTAGTTCAAAGGTTCAAACATGGTAACAATATGTACATCAGTCTCTTTGAATTCAGTCAGGAAACAGAGAGGATAAACTGGTCTTTTAAAATAGTCTTTAAAATAAGCCTCATGCCTTAAAATGATCAGTCTTTAAGATAGTTGGCAGCCAGCACTATCTCTTCACTATCCAAAGTGAGAACAGTGGCAGAATGACAGTTAGAACCGTTGGCCTCAGCAACTAGCCAGAGGCAGCAGCCAATCAGAACTCTGGTCCCAGGCACACTCAGCCAATCGGCTGCTGACACATCTCTCTCCAGTTAACCCACCATATCATGGCGTCCTTTTTCAAATCTTCATACCAATGACTTGCTAGGAGGTGGGGGCAGGGAATTCCTCCTCTCCACATCTCCTAGTGCATCATGGATACGTTCCACAAGGCCTGCAGATAGGCCTAATGGTGACCTGTTTTTACTTTATTTTTAAGGCTCTTCAGGGTTTTTTTTTTTTTTTTTGGTGGCCTGGTGCCATCCCCTAAGTTTTTGGGATGGCATGGGGAAAACCAATGGCCAAAGCCCGGGATTTTCCTCCTGGGATGTGAGGACTTAAGGCCTCTTTGCAATGGATTTAATTTATGTCTGGAAGCACCCTAAGAGGTGCAGCTGCCCATGAGGACGCCCAGCTCCAAACATGCTCATCCTGTTGAGGTTTGTGAGGTTTTAGGCTGTTGTCTTAAAGCTCTTAATGTGTTTGTTCACTTCACCTCTGATTCCCATTCCCCATGTGAGCTGTACTATTCTCAGGCATACTTGTTGTCAGGCATGCCAGGCTTCCTATAGATAAAGAACAGTGGAAAGAATTTTTTATTGCAAAGAAAGTGTGTTCAAAGCAGATGACACATTAATAATCCCTATATTTAACAAGATCTTATAAAGAAGAGAAATGCCATTAGAGCAGCAAGCAAAGGGATTTAAACTGTGAAGTGGCAAATTTAGATTAAATATTAGGAGAAACTTCTGACTGTTAGAACAGCTCAGCAGTGAAATAAGCTGTCCCCCAGGGGTGATGAACTTTTGGAACTTGCCTCCTTGGCAGTTTTCAAGAAAGAAAAAAACTTTCACAGGCACTCTGTAAGTTTTGTATAACCAGTCATAAAGGAGGAAGTTGGATTAGGTGACCCAATTTATTCTTCCTAGATCCATGACTGTACATCTCTCTGCAGCCCACATGTAAAGATATCATTAATCCATCACTACAGGGTATTTTTTCCTTTACTCTTGCAGTTATACAGGGCATTGATATCACACTGCTGGGGGTGAATAACCAGAGTTTTGCGAGACTGATGGAGCAACGTTTAGCACCGCTGTTCATGATGTCCCATCAGCAAGGAAGACGATTTAAACGGGCTACTACAGTTGGGAGCTACACTGTGCAGGTAGGTAATAAGGTCATAACAATGTTCTGTGATATTACTCCACTCTTTTTACCATTTTTCTGTTAGACATTTGAGTATATTGTAGAAAACACATTGGAGAGCCCCTTCAAGAAGCATTAATTGAAGCCAGTACAATATTTGAGAACCAGTTTAGGGTAGTGGTTGGTGTTTTCGACTGGCCTAGGAAAACCTGGGTGACCTTGGGCAAGTCGTATTCTCTCAGTCTTAGGTTGGATCTACAATGCCATATCTGATCCCAGATTATCTGCTGTGAACTGGATTATATGAGTCTATACTGCCATATAATCCAGTTCAAAGCAGATCATCTGGGAGGAAGGCAATGGCAATACATATGTTAGGTTTGTGTAAGGTTTGTCATAAATTGAAAACAACTTGATGGCAAACAACAACAACAATATCTGAACTCACTTTTTATAGAGGAATTTATAATTAAAATCATACCACAAAGAATTACTTTCTTCTCTTTCTATTAAATGTGAGCTTCATAGTTTTTAATGTTTTCTATATAACAGATCCACTGAACATTTATTCTCAGAGCTTTCAAATAAGAAAAGCTCACTTTGTACTCTACAGGGACGGTCTAAACAATATCTTTTTGTTGTTGTTTTGTCACATAGTTTACTAAAGGCCTTAAACTGTCTGTATGATGCCAATCAAAGAACATATTTTTTCTGCCTCAGTTACCTTTCCACATTTTCTTTCCTCTCCCATTAGTGAGTTTTCTGTATCAAAAATGATTGTGGGAGAAAAAAAACTAGAAAAGTATCCAGAGTACCTCATTATTGACTGAGTACACCACTGGCTGTACCAAAAAGTCCGTATCTTGCTAGCTACATAAGACGCAACCTGTTGTTCCCCCGAATAGGAGTTAGAGTGAGGTACTTGGAGCAACGGTGAACATGAATTGCTGCTGGGCTATTGAGCAATTCTGTAAGGTATCAACAATTCAGGGTTTGGAAAAGTTACTTTTCTAATACCACAACTTCCAGATTCCTCCAGCCAACATGGAAACTGGCAGGACATTCAGGGATTGTGGTTCAGAAAGGTGACTTTTACAAGATCCCACATTTCCACTGTCAAGACTATATTGTACCAAATATTTTCTTTTTGAATATTCATGCATGCTGCAATTCTAATTGAGAATCTAGATTTAATTTACCAGTCTGTTTGCATAGCAATTCTATCTTGTTGGCACAGAGATGAGCTTATTAAAATTGTAGATGTGATCTTTTCCCCTATGTTGCTGTCATAAAAAAGATGGTGAAAATGCAGCGAATTCCAGGTCCCAAGGACCCTGCGGAATTGACTTATTATACATTATACAATGGGAAACCTCTGCTGGGCACAACTGCTGCCAAACTTTTAAGCACCGTTGATTCACAAAGGATGGCGTTGACACTGGGATATGTTGTTCAAGTACAAGCTGATCGTAAGAATGTTCTTCTGTGCTTTTTCTTCTTTTAAAAATAATTTATCATAATTATTATGATTGCTTGTTAGAAAAATTCAAAATGTGACATCTCATGTGATATATTTAACCATTAAGTAGCAGCAACTCCTGATGAGTCATGATCTTGCATTCTTTAAGAGTAATGCAATCAGTAAAACGATGCAGAACAGCTCTCTGGGAATTTGTCTGTATAAATTTCTGAAGAAGATTGCTGAAAAATAGCCCTCTCCTGTCCTCAATTGAACTGCATTGATCAGCTGGTTGTGGTCAGGCTGAATTTTTTTATGAATATATGTATGAGTCTGTGTGAGTGTATGTGTGAGCAAGGCTGCATTTACACCAGGCAAATTACTCCAGAGTAGTTTGCTCTGGAGCTGCCTTGGAATATACTAGAAAACCTAACGCTATGTGGCAGTTTCAGCCACCTGCATTGTAGCCATTTTGATGTTTTCCACAAATTCTCCAGTAGCTAAAACTGGTTAATCTTAGGGCCCTTCCAGACAGCCCTATATCCCAGAATATGATCCCAGGTGTTCTGCTTTAAACTGGATTATATGAGTCCACATTGCCAGATAATCTGGGATAAACAGAAAACCTGGGATCAGATCCTGGGATTTAGGGCCTGTCTGGAAGGGTCCTTAGTTTCACATTATCTCTGAAGAAGGTATCCATGATTCATGACTTCCAAATAGACCAATATACATATAGCCACAGTTGAAAGTTGGCTCTTATATCTTGGCTTGTACTGAAACAGTTAACCATAATTCTCAGTTGGGGCAGAATGAGAAACAGAAGTTCTTGGACTTCAGTTCACATAGTTTTATCAAATGATCTAACTGAGTCCCAGAAACTTGCACATATTTTGATGCATTCAGATTAGATACTGGTGCTTTGACCTAGGCCAGTATACCTTCGCTAAAGTTGGTAGGTTGCGATGGAATTCTAACATAAGTTGTGCATGGCATGGCTAAAGCAGAAATTATATGGATTATTCTTATTTATTTATTTATCAATTTTATATACCACCACTCCCCGAAATAAAATAAAAGTATATATTGTCTAGTTAGTTATGATATATTTGTATTTTTTATGGATTGTATTCCATTTCCAGTTGGAAATAATAATATGACCTACCCTTTTCCAGTGTTTAGTCACTTCACTGCCTTGAATGCGGTATTACATGTCATTCTCTCATAAACAATATTGCTCAAATATTAAGAAATACAGCAGGACACTCAGTACTACAGTATCAGTGGATTTGACACCAGCAGTCCCAATTAACTGTCCTCCAAAAAATACCCTCCAAAAATACCTTTCTGGATCAAGTATAGTCAAACCCAGTCTAGGGTTCGCTATGCTCCACAATTTCAAGCATCCATGTATTGGAACATATCCCCAGGAGACATACTATAAGAACTAGTATTGAGGGAATGCAGTTACAACATATAGTATAATCCATGTTTCAGCATGAATGATGTGGAATGTAAGAAGCTATGTTCCTATACTGAGTTGTACCTTTTACAACTCAGCTAGAAGTTTTTCTCACTTCTCCTGAAGCTAGAGCTAGAGCTTGGAATCTTTTTGGCAAGCCAGAAGTTTTATCTGCTGCTCGGCTGTGGTCTTTCCTCAAAATGTGATTGAGTTAGTGTTTTGTTTCCTGTATTTTCTAGTCATTTTATCTGATTTCTGAGTTACTGATAGTACTGGTTTTCCTATAGCATGAATAACAAAGTACGATTTATGTGCTTATGGTTCCACGTATTGGTATCTTCAGTTCAAATCTTGAAAAAGTTATTTTGGGCTGTAACCCTCAGAATTACCCGAGTAGGCTAACCACTCTTCATACTGCCTAGGGAATTTTGGGCATGGTAGCCTATAACATTTCCAAGCTCGGCCCCAAGCTCTACCTGTCTGAAGATTTGTGAGAACACGTGTGTCTATAGGGATTTATTAGTATGGGTCTGTGGTCTGTCTTAAGATGGCATTCTAAACTTGTTGACTTCCTTTCTTGATGTACATAGCTGTGGTGAAAAATCCACCCAACAACCTATGGATCATTGCAGCAGTGTTGGCTCCAATAGCCGTTGTTACTGTCATCATCCTCATCATTACAGCTGTTCTGTGCCGGAAGAACAAAAATGACTTCAAGGGGGACACAATGATGAACTTGCCCCAGAGAGCTAAAGTAAGTGATTTTCATCCTGGGCTTGGAAATGCCATTATATGTTTCCATGTTAGAAGGGTAATACTGTAACTTTTTTGGACTAGTTTTACTGAAGAAAAAAAGTAAATGATGGAAGTACAGCAGAGTCTTGCTTATCCAACATAAATGGGCTGGTAGAACGTTGGATAAGTGAAAATGTTAGATAATATGGAGGGATTAAGGAAAAGCCTATTAAACATCAAATTATGTTATAATTTTACAAATTAAGCGCCAAAACATCATGTTCTACAACAAATCGACAGAAAAACCAGTTCAATATACAGTAACTTTAATTAGTAATTACTGTATTTATGAATTTAGCACCAGAACATTGCAATGTATTGAAACAGCAGTGGATCCGGGTGGGAGGCAGACTGTGTTGGATAATACAGAACGTCAGATGAGTGAAGGCTGGATAAACAAGACTCTACTGTAATATGCAAAACATTTCCAAGTGCAATAATAACTATGCTTAGTGGTGGTACTTTCTCTTTTCTTTATTAAATAAGTCAGCAAAAAGAAGATCTGGCTTATCTTCCTTGTTTAAAGCGATAAATCGCCACACAGTTTGTTTTGGGACTCCTTCCCTCACTTTCCAAGAACAAGGAGTCTACATGAATGAAGTGTCTTCAGAACAATCTGTTTGTATTGTCATCTGTATAGATTGGGCAGGGATTCCACAGTTTGGGGGTCCTCCTGGACTCAGCATTGAACCTGAGGCTCATGTATCTGCGGATGAAGTCACACTTCAGGGGGAGTGTGACTCCATCCAGCATAGACAGGATCCTTATTTCCTGGTATGACCAGGAGTATTCCTGTCTTGTCTGGATTAAGTTTCTGTTTGTTTGTCTTCATCCAGTCCATTACTGATTATGTTCACTGGTTTTGGGTCAGGACAGTTTCCTTGGCTTTAGGTAGAAAGGAGTAGTGGAGTTGGGCGTTATCTGCATATAGGTGGTACCGTACTCCAAAACTCTGGTTGACCTCTTCCATCAGTTTCATGTATATGTTAAACAGCATGGGGGACAAAACAGAATCCTGAGGAACCCCACAGGACAATGGTTAGGGGTTCGAACAGAAGCCCCCCACTTCCACCTTCTGGGTATGGTCCTCCAGGAAGGAAAGGAGACACTGTAAAACATTACCTCTAAATCCCATCCCAGCAAAACGACCCAGGAGGATACCATTGTCGATGGTATCGAAAGCCACCGAGCCATTCAGGAGACTCAACATGGACATACTCCCTCTGTCTAGCTCTCTGCGTAGATCACCCTCCAAGGCAACCAAAGCTGTTTCTGTTCTATAGCCAGGCCTGAAGCCAGATTGAAATGGATCTAGATAATCCATTTGATCCAGAAATCCCTGGAGTTGGGAAGCCACCACATGCTCCAAAAACCTTGCTAAAAATGGAAGGTTGGACACCAGCTGATAGTTGTCCATTATGGAGGTGCCATCTTAATCTCTTAAAAGGTGCAGCTTTAGAGATGTGGCCAGCAAAATAACCAAGCGTTTCTTGCTCTTAGAAAATTAGGTAGAAAAATGTAGAGAACTAGAGCTTGAAGTGGTGCCTCCAAAATGTAGGGACCCTGAGCAGTACATTTGCTTTTATAGTTTTACAGGGCTGTGCCAGCCTTTGGGGGTGTCACTCAATCATGGTCAGGCTCAATTGATTAAAAGACAATTGGGAAATTTCACATCATGGTCCATAGCCTCTGCCCTGCACCCTCCCTATCTTATCAGTAGGAACACTTTGTCCCAAACCTACCATGTACAAGGCTAGTGCTGATTTCAGTATAGCAGGGCAAGGTCCGACAAGCCTCTGACTTAACAAAGACATCTGTGTCTAGCAGGGTGAGTTACAGAGGGGTTCAGGAATGGCTTTTTAAATATACTGTGGGTCTCACAACTCCTTATTTAGGCAAGTTGGAATTTCGCCTTGATCACTACCTTCACCCACTCTTCCAGTCACCCTCTGGCTTGTTTGATCAGCCAGGAAGGGCAAGGATCTAGAACAGTGGTAAACTGACTGGGATTTCTGGGAGTTGTAGGCCAAAACACCTGGGGACCCACAGGTTGAGAAACACTGATCTAGAATACATGTGGTAGCTCTCATCTCTTCAGGGATCCTGTCCACATTCTAGAGCTGCACAAATTGGCTGACAAATAGTACATTTTCCTGAATAGGACAGCAGCATATGATAGTTAAAATACAAGCTAAACACTTTAACATAAAAACAAGGAAGGAAAGAGGGTTTGGATTGTAATTGAAAATTTGATCCACTGCTCGAGAATGTTTTCTGACAGAAAGATACTGTTGGGTGTAGTCCTGCACAATGATTTATGTTGTATACCACGATATTCATTGGTTGACTTTCTGTATTTCTTTTAATGACTAACTATCAACAATGGTACACATCATTTTCTGTGGATGTCTTAATATAGTCAATACTTCGGTAACTGTTTAGACAAAAATTATAGTTCTTTTTGAAGTAGTGAATATAAAACAAAAGAACTTCCATGTTTCTTGGAAACCTCTCAAGGTTTTCCAAGGAAAAAAATAACCCTGAAACTTCTGTCTAGGCTAATAGTGGGGGCAGATAACTTATCTGATATAGCGGTGTTTTAGGTTGCTTGATGAGAATTAAGATCTTAGGCTTGCTCCCCACTGGAAGTGACTCTGTAATATATAATGTTCTCTGGCATCTTTGGACACAAGGTTGTTTGCCTGCTTTTTGGTGTCATATTATATCTCTAACTTTGGGAAGGAGCACTGGAAGGGGGCTTTGGATTGAAACTCTGGGAACTCCTGCCATTTCTGAGCTAAGTGGTCCAATAGTCTGACTTACTATAAGGCAGCTTTTCCTATGAACTCTTCATGTAAACACTGATATAAAGTGTTCCCCTAGAACTAGAAAGTTTGAAAAACACTCATGTAATAGAAACTTGCCATGAAATTCAAACCACTGTTACTGTTGTTTTCCACATGAGTAGGGCTGAAGCAGGGGTAGAAAACTGCCCCAGGTTTAGGAGGCTGCCATATCTCATGCACCATCCTGCATACACATAATTTATTTAATTTTTTGAATAATATAATATAATTATTCCATTTTTGATTTCTATATTCCAGTGTAAAATGGTCTGGTTAATTAAATTTGAAGAACATTTTATTTCTATTTTAGCCTGCTTGGAGTTTTCATCAACTGGGCATAACAGTAATTATAATTGCTAGTGAACTATTAAGCATAAGATCCTCATAACTCAGAATAGTTGCCAGCAGTATATGTGTGTCTGTTGAATGTTAATAGACTATTTGTCAAAAATTCCTAAACCTGCTTGAGTGCCGCAGACCTTTCAGATAAAAAAAAAATCTGCTCTTTGAATATGGTTGAAATAGTGTTATTTATTTGATTATCAAACAATTCTGTGTAAAGAGTCATGTTATTTTTAGGTTTGAAAGCTATTTTAAAAATTGGAATCCTTCTATTTTTATGCTTGAATGGTTTTAACTATGAATTTTTAAATGCTGTTTATATTTAATTCTGTTTTAATGTTTGCATATTTGTATATTTTAAATTGTGTGCTAATGCTTTTATGTTAAGTTGCTTTGAGTCCTCTTCGGGAGAGATAAAGCAGTGAATAATAATAATAATAATAATAATAATAATAATAATAATAATAATAATAATATCTATTAGGGCAGGTGTTGTTGGGATCTTTGAAGACATTTGCTTTATAAAACACACACACACACACACAACTCAAGCTCTATAAAGAGAAGTGTCTTTGTGGAGTTTATATATTTTACTTGTCCTGCTTGCTCTGATTTCTCGTATCAAGGGAAACGAAGAACGTGGTGCTGCATAATCGGTGCTGCAGTTGTGCCGCTGTTGCTGGTAATAGACTTCTGTGCACTGCAGATCTCTGTATGGAAGACCACCTCTTCGAACCTTCCCTTAGTGGATGGAACTAAATGAATTAATGAAAGGGATAATTAATCCTTTAGCTTTCTGTATTGCCACGCACAGTAGGAGGGCAGAAGATAGCTGCACAACCCCAGCCTGCTGTAGTGTAAAGAGCAGCTTTTCAAAGGATGCTGGGCTGGGTAAAGGAGCATAACTTGGAAAAGATGCGTGGCTTTTCTAAAAGTGTTGCAGCCATTGTGCAGTTACTATCAAGAACATCTGGAAGGGTCTTAAATATTTTGCTATCCTTGGCTGATTTTAACAACTGGGACATTCTGTAGTACAGCTAACGACATTTGTTTCAACAGATTTAGCTAATAAATGGAGATAATGTGAATGAATCCGCATAAACATTCACTTCTTTATTCACAGCTTCAAAATAAGGATAGCTGAGCTCGTGAAACTTATGAAGAGCCTTTGCCTGATATCTCTCAAGGATGAGTAATTAAAATTAGATGTGCTGGTTTTGATCTTTTTTTATATCTTGTTTGGATGGCTATGGTTGTATTTTTGTGTTAAATCTATTCTCCTTTTGTAATGGACATGGTTTTAGATATAGCAGATTTATGCCTAAATGATAGGAAAAGTTATATTTATCTTTAGGTTTTTCACTCTAATGACAGGTGGGGTGTACCTGCTAGGTTAAATTGTGTTTTATATGAATTGATGTCTGTGTGATCCCATTTGCTCCCAGGTGCATCTGTGTGTCCTGTCTTTTCACAGAATGCTTCTCAATAAGCTTTTATTTTAGTGTTGCAATTGAACTAAAAGCGTATTATAGGACTGGAAGGATTTTTGAGTCTTATACCTGGACCTCACACATTTTTTTTCATTTGTGTTATCTTGCATATTAGTTAATAGAATTGGGTTTACCTTTATGTCAAGTAAGTAGTAGGTGGGACCCCTACCTACATGCTGGAGAGGGTAGAGTCAGCATGCTGGATGTTGTGCTAGAACTCTGGAGACCAGTTCTTGAATGTGGGACTAGGACTCTGGAGACCAGGATTTGGTTGAAATAGG